GGGGGGTATAGATCACTGAGAATTCATGCTAACAACAGAGGGGCGAGGATAATGTTCCTGGTTTTGGCCTCGTCCACCCATAATTTCAGTGGTCGCGGCTACAAACGTGTCACTTTCGAACGTCTCGAGCAGATTTGGTATTGAGTGTTAGACTAGAGAGATAATGGGAGTGCTTGAAAGGAGCTGGTCGTTAAATGTAAGGCTAATGGCAGTGGACGTCCCCCCTTTGTCGAAGTTTCTACTGTAAGTCTATCATTCTCGAATTGGGAGGATATGGTGGAATAGCTGACAAGATCCCGCAGCCTTCGAAACGAGGTCCGATGCTAGCTTACTGCGTTCAGTTGATCGCTCAATACCCTAATAATAGAGGCCGTTGTCAAGAGATCCGCATGGGCCGCAACCAATGTCTTGTTCACAATAAAATCATGACGAAAGGGGTGTTTTGAACTTGATGGATGATTGGATCGGCAAGAATAACAAGAGAGTTTTGTGTGGTTTTGAAAGATGAAGTTTCTCAAACTAATTCTTTAATAAATATATGAACTAAGTAACTGTTATAAAACGTTATTAAAGTTGGTGAAGTAAATAGATGCTAACTATGAACGTTTTAACAAAATTCTCCACTCAGTTTGTTTGTTTGTTTTTGAATTTCGCGCAAAGCTACACGAGGGCTATCTGCGCTAGCCGTCCCTAATTTAGCAGTGTAAGACTAGAGGGAAGGCAGCTAGTCATCACCACCCACCGCCAACTCTTGGGCTACTCTTTTTACCAACGAATAGTGGGATTGACCGTCACATTATAACGCCCCCACGGCTGAAAGGGCGAGAATGTTTGGTGTGAGAGGGATTCGAACCCGCGACCCTCAGATTGCGAGTCGAGTGCCTTAATCACCTGGCCATGCCGGGGCCTCTCCACTCAGTGACATCATCTCAAATCATTTTGGTTACCAGCTCAATAATGTTGAGCAAAGAACTCCAATCTGAGTTTTCTATAACACAGGCCTTCGAATTTAAACTTCATAAACATTGTTTCGGTTTTAATAACGGATTTTTTCATAATTCAGCTAGGCAGATTTGGAAAATAAGATTTTTTTTTATCACGTAAGGATTTTTTTTACAAATCGGGAAGAAAAGGGGAAAAAAACTCTTAATTAGATCAAATTATTATTTTGTGTACCAGAATGAACATTTTTTATTATTATGTCTGTTAACAAAAATACAAACAAGCTGAAGAAAAGAGAAGAACGTGGATGTGAAACGAATATGTATCCTCATTGACCCTGATTTTTTTTTTATGAAATCTACGGCTTTTAGTCTCAAAACTACGTGTTGTGGCCTTTCTTTTATGTATTGGGATATGACGTTTTGTGAAAAATCTGTACGTGGTGGAGAAAAATGGATATTATATTCAGATTCAGCATACAGAAATTACTGTAGAACATGTAAAAATTTCAAGACAATAAAACCATCGCAAGCCTGTGTAATTAATTAGTATGAACTTTGGAGCTGGCTCTTATTTAACTAAATAGCATCATTATTCAGAAAAACAAAAACATCTAATTGTAGGTGAATGTAATATTTAAATTGAAAAATTATTAATATATTAAAACCTTGTTATATATTATTCAGCTTTTAACTAAATCACCTCATTACATTTTGGGTTTCTACTTGATTGAATATTGATAAATTTATGTATTCAGGATGCTAACTATTAAAAAAAAGTTAAAAAGGTTTCATAATATTGGTTAAGAAACAAGGAGACTAGACTTTCTCAAAAGCTATCATCAATTTGTTTTTTTATCTTCTTATTTTTTCTTCAGTTTTCTCTTGTCATTTTTATGAGGTTATTTTTAGTTATAATTCCCTAAGGTGTATGAAGCCAATTTTTGTTTTCAGTTTTGCTAATATGTCTTGGGCACACTGGCTCTCTGGTTTATTTTTCTTATGTTGTCTCCAACCACATCCAGTAAGATTGATAATAGTTTACATATTTCTGATGAGTCATATGTTCTGAATGTTTCTAAGGATAAAACTATAGAATTTTGTTATTTAGTTTGTTCTCCATAGCAGCTTGAACTACAGTGAGGTCACCATTTGTTTCATTAATTATTATTATTAAATTTTTGTGTACATGTCTAGATCAAAGGTCTTAGAGTAAGTTTATTGAAACTTGTCAGTAAGTATATTCACATGTACCTTTATCATCTCATTCACTTCAAGTTAATTTATTTAAGCAAATACAAACAATTTATAATTTATAAACTATGAATAGCCACAGTGTACATGCAACTAGAAATCAGATAACCTCTCCAAGGTTTGTACTTAAAAGTCAATGCCTCACATCTACTTTTTATTAAGGTACCACCCAACTACAATCATCCAAAATATTTAGGTACCATATGCACTTTTTTGGGTGGTAACAAAAATTCACACACACCCAAGAAAAGTGTTCATTTGTTGCCAAGGTTTTTTTCTCTTCAAATATATGGATGTTTACAACAAACATCCAACTTTGTCTTCCTTTTGGGGGGGGGGGCTTTCCTACATTGAGCAAATACCCCAATGTGTTGTTCACTGTACACTCCTGTTTATACTGACTGGAAGCAAAAGTCTTGTTTTTATCTGATATAAGATGATTGCCATAAGGAAAGAATGACATAACAATATGAACATAACTTTACACAACAGCTATTTTTAAAGTTCTTGTAAGACAATTTAACAAACAAAACAAGTAAAGTTTTTAAACTTACCAAAATACATGGATGGGATTTTTTTTTTGCTTTTCAAAACAATCTATACAGTCACAAAGCAAACACTGAACTGGTACAGAGCAATACCGTTCACTATGATTTGAATTACTGTTGTAATTTTTTTTCTTTTCCCTTGCATCTTCTTTGCAACTTACTTAAAGTTAGTTTGATATTGGACCAAGCATGACCCAGTGTTTAGTGTGCTGGACTGTGGATTTGAAGTTCTGTGGTTTACATCCCATTACCAGCAAAAATAATGATTTGTCCTTCCATGCTTTGGGACTGTTGGTGTGTAATAAGAGTGATTATCAGGTTAAACAGAGCTGGTGGTGTTGACTAGCTGCATTCCCTGTAGCCTATCTCTTTTAAATTTGGTATGACTTGCACAGAGCTCTCATGTAGCTGTGTGTGAATCTCAACAAACTCTTTAATATTAGTTGTAAGAGCAAACAGCTATTCAAATAAGAAATATATACAAAGCATGCAAATTTCCGTATCAAAGATTACACTGTAATTATGTGAGTATTCTGTATTTTTTGTTTACTTTTTTTTTATTTGCATCTCTTCAGAAGTGCTTCCTAATACAATATTTTTCATAGTTGTCAAGGTTTTTAATATAAGGGCTGGGATTCTTTTACAGTGGGTGTCTGTGACTTGTTGGCAACAAGTGTGAATAATAAATGGACAGCACAAAATTTCTTTACACTCTAGGATATCACAGTTGTATCTAAAATTCTAAATAATTCTCTTTTTCTTCTGTTATCACAATATAATTAGTGATAAGTTCACTTACATTACCTTGTGGGTTACCACTGTCATATCCAGAACCTTAAATAATTCTGTTTATGTCAAAAGTCCATACAGGCTGGTTCAGTTACTTTAGAACCCAATTGGCAGGACAATTATTCTTCTCTACTCTTTTATAACCAGAGAATCAGTGATAGATTCACTTACGTTATCCATGGGTTACCACAATTTTATCCAGATCTTTAAATAATTGTTTCCTTTTCATCAAAAGTACAAACAGGTGGGTTCGATTACTTTAGAACACCCTTTGACAAGAGAGATTATTATTCTCTCTCTCTCTGTTGTTACGATACCACTGTGAAACTCACTTCAGATATTGCCCATTACAGCTAAACTAACAATCAATCAGTCTTAACTTCACTTTCGCTTACTTAACTTCTTTAGAAATGCCCCATCACAGCTAAACTGCCAATCACTAAGTCTAGATCTATCTAATTATCTCTCACTTAACTTGCTTTCTTAACTTCCTCTCTGTATTTGCATGTATTTATAACACACAACAGAAAAATCTAGAAATATCTAGCCTTCTAGTGACAACAATATTACACACAAGGAGAAAAACTTAGAAGCTTCGAGTAAGATGACGTCAGCAACATTATAAAAGCCTAGTACAACAGTTAAACTACATACACAATATATGAATCATACAAAGTTACATAATGAAACTTGTCATAACTATTGCTTTTAATATAATTAACTTTTTACACTCTTGTAATGAAAATTAAATAATCATTTAATATTAAATCTCTAAATATTAACTCTTAAACTAAACAGTCTTGTATATACAACAATAGCTATGTAGTATGTGAATAAACACAAATTAAAGTTTTTTTGCATTCATGAAAATTTTTTTGTTATATAAAACTAAAACTACTGCAGATAAATATAGCTGGTATTATATGTAACACAAATGCATATTAATCACTTTGCTGATATTTTTTAGGCTTAATTGTCTTAGTTATTAGTTGTATCTTACACATCCAAACTAAATTCATGAAGGTAAGTCAGAAATGCAATATAACTAATCATACTTTGTTATAAAAGCCAGAAAAAATAGCTTTATTTGTAACAAAGGAACAATCAAAATTTGCATCATTTATCAATTGGTTTCTGTTATGAAATTTATTTCATTTTAAACTTATCTTTTTATTAGGCACAAAAACTTTAGTGATTGGAAGAAGTAGGCAAGATTAATCCAATACATTATTGTTCTCTTTCATAAACATTGTGTGATTATTAGAAATGTCACTAAACAGTTATATCAGCCAAAAAAATACTCCAGCAAAGTTTGGAATTACTTATGTTTATTAACAGTTTAACAATGATATTATTGATTTTGCTCATGTCATAGAGCAAATTTTCTGAAACTGCATAGCTAAGTTTAATTTTTTTTTTTTTTTGCTTTTGTGTGTAGTTTGTATGTCTTCTATGGGACCCAATAGATGTGTTTCGTGACTTGATCTCTCGTTGGAAAGTTACTCATGTTTCATTTGAGCAAGATCCAGAAGCTATTTGGAAGTAAGGAGATGAGTCTGTAAAAAGGCTTTGTGAGTCTTCTGGTGTGACTGTTCTAGAGAACGTCTCTCTCACACCCTCTGGAACCCTACAGATATAATTAAAATGAATGGTGGCTCGCTACAACATGTTTTGTCATGCAAGTTGGGTTTATTGCATATTACATATTTCTTCTCTCTCTCCCCTTTTTTTATCATAGTAATGATTGATCAATCTAGGAAGAAAAACATTTAGGTAGGCTGACTAGCAAGAAAACTCTTATGTTCTTTGGAATGAAGTAAATTAGTGGTTTTAGGAAAATCCTTTGTAATTACTGTTGATTAACTGAAAGTCTGTATTTTCTGGAGAAACCAGTGCATGCACTCAAATATGATACAGTCAAACATCAGTAGGCTGTCAAAATCCCAGGGATTTTGGGCAGTTAATCAAGATAGCACATCAGGGACCTTAAGCTTAGTTTTGATCTATTATAGCATCTTTTCAAGATGACACATCAGGGACCTTGACTTTAGTTTTGATCCTTTGTAGCATCTTTTCCTGTAAAAATTGAAACATTACTTTAAGAGATAATTTTAGTACTGATAAATATATAAAACTTTTTAAAAGGACAGTCTATTTCACTGTAACGTTAATTACATTTTTATTTTTAGTTTAATAACTCTGTCTATTATCCATGGTAAATATATACTTTGTTATTTTTGTTTATTAAAAATTTTTCTTAACATACTAAGAATCTTGAGTGTGTAAACAAGCTTTGGCCATATTATTTCCAGATGGGCCAAGTGCTGACCAGTGGTTAGCATACCAAACTGTGGAGCTGAGGTTCTGTAGTCAATGTCTCATGATCTTACAACTAAAAAAATTGTGCTGGATATGTCATAAGGATAATGGTCAAATCCCACTATTCCATCTGACTACAGTGGACGGCATTGACTAGTTAACTTTCCTCAAGTATATCACTTCAAAATTAGGGACAGATAGCCCACCTGTGGCTTTACTCAGATTATACTAAACAAACTTAGTGCCAGATAATATTGAGAAAACATGATAGGCCTATTTTTAGATGATTTCATTCTTGTGTTAAAAAATAGTATAAACAAGATATTATCATATACCTATTGTTTAATACAAATATTTATAGTTTCTTTTTGAGGAAGGGTAACAAAGTTCTTTGAGAGCTATTTTTAACTGAGAAAAATATTGAAAAATCTGTCATAGATTTGAACATATTAATAGACAATATAGTGGCTAGCATCAGTAATTGTCTTAATGTATAAAGTGCAGAAAAATTGCAAATTCCTTGCTCTAATGTTATTAAAAACTAATTTCTATTTTCTGTTTATGCTAAGTTATTGTAACACACGTCTTGGGCTGGTTCTGATAATAAATTTTATCTTCTAGCTAACATGAGGCTTAAACTTGTAAGTTAACCTACCCTGTTATCAGTCAAGACCATTATCTTGTAGTCAGCAGAAACAACTTAGCCAGTGGCTCAAAAAATTTCCAATTAACCGTTTAATTTACTTTTAAGCTGATGAATCAGATAGCTTACCAACTGTAATGAGCAAAGACAGTTTACTATGCTATGAATTAATAACTAGACATACCCACCTTTCTGGTCAGATTCTTTAAACTGCAGTCAGTTAAGATGAATGTTGTTTTTTATTATTGAAATTTCAGTTACTTACCATGTTAGCTATTATGCTTATTCTGCTGTCAGTTTAAGTGACTTGCTCTGTAGTCAGTAAGGATGTCTTCTATTTAATTCGTTTTTTACAGTGTTTTAAATTCAGAAGACTTGGAGGTTTCCTGCTAACAGCTTTGATGACCTTTTATACCTGTAAAGTTCAAGTATTGTGATATGGTTTTAAAACTGCTTATTAGTATAATGCTCTACAGTTCTTATTAACCAATTCTGACCCTCTAAACTTATGACACAGAAAACCAACTAATTAATTATTAAAGATACTTTAATGTATGTTACATTTTTATCAGTATTTAATGAAATAATTTCTTTCAGAAGTTCCTGTGCTACTTCAGCTGTTGGTGTTGAAAACGTACTGGAACAACAAAGTAATAGACTTACCTTGAACTTGTGTTTACAAATTTAAAAGCTCGAAAACCAGTAATTGCTAAGAATAAAAAATATTTTAAACTAGATAGAAACTTTCTTTTGACTCCACCTAGAAAGAGATGGTTCTTTAAATCTTAACAAAGAATAACTTTGATAAAATGTAATACCCATTTCAGTTAACATTACAAACATCCATCAAATTTGTTTATCAGACCTTATAAAATTAATTGTGTAACAGATATAAACAGGGAAAAATAGTAAAACAAAAAAATAAGTGTTAAGTGAGTCTAAGCTGTAGTTGTGGACTACTTAGCACATGTTGTCGTCATGATACAAATAATCTCTTATTGCTGTGTATACATATGTACCCACTGTTTATTAGTCTATAACTCAGTTAAATGAAATTAAAACTCTGAACTGAATTCCTGTATTTTATTCAACAGTATTTTAAATATTCACAAAATTGAGACTTTTTAATAAGTAAAAAATTTGATTGTGTGACATAGTCTAATTATTTCAAATGTTGTGAATTCTAGGTTTAGAACTACAAAAAATACAGAGCAGGTGTTGGGTGTACTGTTTCTTTGATACTGGTAAACTATTAGCACGCAATAAAATATAAGTTTTAATGGAGTATGAAGTTTTTTTAAAACTTGTACAAAATTTTCATATTACTTCATTCAATTTACTTGAAGTAAATTACTTGCCTTCACCTTGTCAATGTGGGATTCTAATTCTAGCTATGGTGTGACAGGAGGTAAGTGTGTTTCAAAAGTTAACATTTTCCTATACCAAAATTGAATTTTTGATAACACTAACCTCCTCTAACACTCTTCTGCCCTTCATCCTCATGATGGCTGGTGTTCAAGCTTGCTAATTTGAACAGTCAAAAAAGTGAATAAGGAGTAATAACGGAGATCTGGGATAGGGGACACATTGATGTGGATGGAGAGAATCACAAGATTTAACTTGCTATAGGCAATAGAATGAGGTATAAAGGCTGGAGCAAGTAAGGTAACATTCCTACCAATGCTTAAATGGGCAAAGAAAAGTAACTTTCATTGGGATAAAGCTATAGTGTGAGGGGTGGTAAGTATTATCGAAAATACATTTTCAGTAGAGAAAAATGTTAACTTTCATCACTTGCTGCTCAGTTGCATGTTGACATGCCATTATTTCAACTTTTATCACTTCAGTTAACATGCAACTGAGCTGACTTACCATTATGGTATGGAGGAGCATTGACAATTCAGTCAGATTTATACCATTGCTAAAACCAGTTGCCGGTACCTGATTAAGTTCGACGACTTGAAAAATTCAGTATATTTTTTAAAAATTTCTAATTAGTATATGATTATGACCAAGTCATAAATTAAGATTATGCATCATTTAAGCTCTTTGCTTCTTACAAGTTACTCAACAAAATAATAAAACTTTTTAAATTGTTAAAAATATAATATATAACTGTGGTTTTAGCCAGCACTTCCTCATCTTCTTCTGTTAGGTTGTGTTCTTGGGTTTGTTTGTACTCAACATTCCAAAATTTGCAAAATTTATATCCAATCCTTCATTGAAATGCTAACTGGTTCTCCAACGATTCCTACTGGTTCTTATCAGGTTTAATTGGTCCATTCCAAGGATTTCAGAAAGTGTGGAAGGGGGGGATTATCAATTTCATGTTTTCCTACTTATAGCTTTGACATCATTTTGTCATCTTGCCCCTCTCTATAATATATCCTGTGAATACCAATGTGTAGATGTGGATTTTTTAAAGAAAGACACAATTGCAAATATTTATGTGCCTATATATGCAACATTATTAAACAAAAATTTTTAATTCAAAACAACAGTTTCTTGTTATATCACTCTTGGAATATACTTAATTTCTATATTAATTTAGACAAACACAAAAAAATAATGTTACTTGTGATTACTATTTTAGTATTGACCATAATGTGACTTTGGATTACTATTTTAATTCTGACCACAATATGACTTGGGATTACTATTTTAATATCAACCATAATGTGACTTGGGATTACAATTTTAATACTGACAATAATATGACTTGGGATTAATATTTTTAATATTGACCATAATGTGACTTGGGATAACTATTTTAGTATTGACCATAATGCGACTTGGTATAAATATTTTAGTACTGACCATAATGTGAATTGGGATTACTTTTTTAATTCTGACCATAATGTGACTTGTGATTACTATTTTAATATTGACCATAATATGACTTGGGATTACTATTTTAATATTGACCATAATGTGACTTGGGATTACTATTTTAATGTTTACCATAATGTTACTTGTGATTACTATTTTAATATTGACCATAATGTTACTTGAGATATCTATATTAATACTGATCATAATGTGACTTGAGATAACTATTTTAATACTGACCCTTATGACTAGTTGATATTGAAATGTCCCATAATAACCACTTTCAGTTAGGCTCAAAATTTAACTCTAGCTGCTAAAGATATATGTTTTAAAATAAGCAGTATCTCCTAACATGTATAGTTTGGAAAGCAGACATTGCAGTCCTGTATATCTTACACTATTGTGACACTATTATGACTGAGGCTAAAGAAAGGGCCAAAAACTTGCAAATCATATCTTTCCTCAAAATAGCATAATAAGTGAATATTATGCAATTAATTTGCCTGGCAGGTCAAATAAGCAATCTCTCAAAATGTAAACAAATGATGATGCTCTTTTAATAGTATTATTATTGATTATTACAATTTGCTTTTTGGTCTACTTATAGTATCATATTAGCTCTGTTAAGTATCATGTATATTTGGCTAGGCCTATAGTATAAAATCAGAATGCCATACCTTTGGTTAATGCATTTTTGTAAGCCTTCTCATCATTTTTCATATACAAGTGCAGATCTGGAACTTGTCATTTTTGAACTCTAACCACAGTTGATTTTTCCATCTTACTTCCCATCTCCTGCATCTAACATACTTTTTAAACACTTGTTTCTGCATCTTGTTCTCTTCTTCAATGGCCCTCTTTTTGCCTTGAGTTGCTTTATTATTTGGTGAAATTGGTTTCACTTGTGTGTAGGATTTCTGGTGAAAGGTATTTATCCACTGAGATGGTAATATTTGTCACACTTCATTTAGAGTGATCCTGCCATTCACATGTTCCAGAAGCCTCTTTTTCTTTTCAGTTATGATAGGGATTTCCCATGATGTCCAAAAATAAGCCAGGGATTCCAAAAATTTAGTAGGTCTATTTGAGAGATTGAAGAAAGAGGGTACTATCATAAAACAAAAGCACAACAATGGTTTTAAGAAAAAATTACATGACTGATAACAAGTTAAAATGAAAAAATACTTATTATAGATTATTCTTTTGCTATTCTAGTCAGCCCACAAGCTAATTAAATGAAGCAAATTTTTAACCCTGTATTTTGGAAAATGTTAATATTCTGAGAGTAACATCAAAAAAACAAAAACAGATTAAGCTTCCATAAATTATCAATAATCTATCTGAAGCCATATTATTTGAACTGAATTACTCTATTCCTGTAAGGAATTTAGATATGAAATATTATTATAACGTTCATTACTTTTAGCTCTGGACAGGAGGTGAGAGCAGAGCTTTGCAACGTTTAGAATAACGACTGATTGTTGAGAGAGCAGCATACAAAGATGGTCACTACTTGCCTAATCAGTTCAACCCAGACTTGTTGGGTCCTCCTATGTCCATGAGTGCAGCTTTACGTTTTGGAAGTTTATAAGTTCGCAAGTATGTGAAAATATTTTCTAAACTTTTAGAAATTACAAGATGTATAGTGAGGCTAATTTTCAGATTTTGCAACAAAGCCAATTTAACTTATTGTTGTTGAAAGTCATGCTACATTTTTGTCTTGTATATTGAACTTTGTATCATTTTTTTCACCTGTGTGAATATTACACACTATTTTCTTAATGGCATCATCTAAAATATATCACATGCTAGGAAGTTAAGTGGTCATTAGAAAGCTCAAGTGTCACTTTTACATTAATGCTACCAAAGTACTACAGCACTACAAGTTAAAGAAGAAATTACAATGCTATTTTTTTGGTAATATGTAATAAAAACGTTTCTTGGTAATATGCTGATGGGTTCCTAAAAAAGACCTTCTTAAAAATGAAGTATGTTTACAAGTTAAGCATGGTGTTGAGATTTACTCAGTACAGACTTCTCTTGTTAGAATGAAGAGTCTCTTATGGTAGTAGAACGTGAGGGTTTGTAGATTCTATAGATGTAGGAAGCAATAAAATATTAGTAGAACTATAATCACAAGTGTCTGTGTGGTGGTGGATCAAGTGTTGGTTTGGTGATAGAATTAATAAACCAATATACAGTTATGTATAAAAAGTCTACATTTTTATAGGACTATATTCAGACTAAGCCAGTAAATTCCTACATATCACAGTTTATTTTTGTGCACTGTGTGATGAAAACTTGTGGATAATGTGTTTTTTCTTCCACAGGTAGATAACATTCAAAATTTTAAAACAAATTTAAAAGCTTTTAAATCATTCAGTATTTACACACATATGATGTATTTATGTTGACATAATCTATAGCAACATATTAACTGACTAATCTGTTTCATTAAGCTGTGAAATTAGTCTATTAATCAGAAGTCTCTTTTTTTATTTGGAAGGGGGAGCAGTAATAAAAATCTGTTTATAAAATATATCTTTTTTTTTATATGGAAGAGGAACAGTGATAAAAATTTGTTCATAAAAGAGAATATCTCTTCTTTTATATGGAAGGGGAAACAGTTATAAAAATCTGTTTATAAAATAGAATCTTCTGATTAACAGATTTACACCACAGTTTAATAAAACAAGTGGTTCAGCAGTTATTAGTCTGTTATTGTTAGATAGTGACTTTCAACACAAGATATCTGACTGGTTTTTGTGATGTTACTGAGAGCTTTGTGACTCTTGGTTTAATGGTCGGTTCTTCTGGAGCATCCATGATCTATATGAAGAGATCCATCCCAATGTTGTTCCTCCTTTAGGTTTCATGGGACAATTGATGTGGAGAGAATATTTTTACACCGTGTCTGTGAACAACTTACATTATGATACCATGACAGAAAGTCCAATATGTTTGAATATTCCATGGTAGGAAAAAAGTCTCCTGTTTATTTATTATGTTCAAATATCAGTGGCATAATAATGTTTAAGAATAATTCACTGATTTTCAAAAGCATATGCAAAACTTAAAAGAAGCTGTTACCATAAAGAGTATAAAATTTAAAAAAAATTTATGTAAAGTAATG